AGCCGCCCAGAGTGGCTGGGGAAACTCAGCCAGATGGGCGGGGTATAAATAAATTATTATTATTATTATTATTATTATTATTATTATTATTTGGCTTTGACTTTTGGTTTGTTGAGTTGCGCTGCGTTGAGTTTGAGTTGTGCTGCGTTGCAAAGGAGAACCATCTCTTTAAAGCAGGATCTCAGGGATCAGGAGCTCACATCCATGAGCAACTCCCCCCCCCCACCACTGACACAGTCTCCCCCCGCAACTCCTCCTCCTCCCGCTCCACCAAGTCACAAGGCAAGGACAATGAGGTGTTTGAAATGGGAGCGTTTAAATCAACAACCACCGAGCGGCAGACATCTGGGGAACAGATGCCGATCGCAGGCCCTCGGCTCCTTTCCTTGGGAACAGGCGAGTCCTGGAGTCCAGGAAGACGGGAAGCAGGAAAAGAGAGATCGGTTCAGGGGAAAGTCTCAAGAGCACTTCATTTTGGGGGACCCACACTGTGCTCAGCTTTGAGGAACATCCCAACTCACCACTGGTTCAAAAACGCTTCTGTTTCTCTGAGGACTGTGGCAGTGGCGAGTTTAGTTTAGTTTCATTCTTTTGTTGGGCAAACCCAACTATCGACGGTGCAAACCACAATGGCAGAGACCTAAATTTAAGCATGCAACTCCCACCTTTGAGCACAAAGCTGAATTCTCTTCTCCAGGCTAAACCTAGCCAGCTCTTTTCAACTCGCCAACCGGGTCTCCCTTCAGGAGAAAGTCAAGCCCCATAGAACTAGCTTCTGAGCTGGCTGCTCTGTTAACTATGGAGTAAGCAAGGAAGTGTGAGGGACGCAGGTGGCGCTCTAGGCTAAACCACAGAGCCTAGGACTTGCCGATCAGAAGGTCGGCGGTTCGAATCCCCGCGATGGACGGGGTGAGCTCCCGTTGCTCGGTCCCTGCTCCTGCCAACCTAGCAGTTCAAAAGCATGTCAAAGTGCAAGTAGATCAATAGGTACCGCTCCGGCGGGAAGGTAAACGGCGTTTCCGTGTGCTGCTCTGGTTCGCCAGAAGCGGCTTAGTCATGCTGGCCACATGACCCAGAAGCTGTACGCCGGCTCCCTCGGCCAGTAAAGCAAGATGAGCGCCGCAACCCCAGAGTCGGTCACAACCGGACCTAATGGTCAGGGGTCCCTTTACCTTTAAGCAAGGAAGTGAAGACTTGAATCTTGCTTCATTTTTAGGGGGAAAGCTATAGCTCAGTATTGGCGCACATGGTTTAAAAGACCCAGGTTCAACTCCCAAAATGGAGGTAGATAGATGAACCTAGAATAGGAGAGCTTCCTAGCGTCTCATCATATTCAGCCATTATTCAAAATACTGAGGACTCGAATCCCACTTTATGTTTAGGGGCTGAGCACCTACTTTGCCTGCAGAAGGCTCCATATTCAATCCCTAGTGGCTTCTCCTGGTAAACTCCTGCCCTGAAGCCCTGGACAGCAGCTGCCAGCCAATTGTTGTAGGCAACACTGAGTGAGATGGACCAATTGCCTGACTTGGTTTAAGGTGGCTGCCCAGGTTCCTAATGGAGCCGTCCACCTATATTTTATGACATGGGTAGGCAAACTAAGGCCCAGGGGCCAGATCCAGCCCAATCGCCTTCTCAATCCGGCCCGCAGACGATCTGGGAATCAGCGTGTTTTTACATGAGTAGAATGTGCCCTTTTATTTAAAATGCATCTCTGGGTTATTTGTGGGGCATAGGAATTCATTCATTTAAATACACACACACATACATGCACACACACAGTGTGGTACCTCAGGTTAAGTACTTAATTCGTTCCGGAGGTCCGTTCTTAACCTGAAGCACCACTTTAGCTAATGGGGCCTCCTGCTGCTGCCACGCTGCCAGAGCACGATTTCTGTTCTCATCCTGAAGCAAAGTTCTTAACCTGAAGCACTATTTCTGGGTTAGCAGAGTCTGTAACCTGAAGCGTATGTAACCTGAAGCGTATGTAACCCGAGGTACCACTGTATAGATATATATATATATAGAGAGAGAGAGAGAGAGAGAGAGAGATGATAGATAGATAGATGATAGATAGATAGATAGTCTGGCCCCCCAAAGGTCTGAGGGACAGTGGACTGGCCCCCTGCTGAAAAAGTTTGCTGACCCCTGTTTTATGATGCCTCTCGCCACAATTCAGAATTTTAACACCTGACACAGAACTCCCGTGGAACCTCCATGTTCAGTCATTGTCTATCTCTAAGTGCCAGATGCTTCAGTGAACAACAGAGGGGGGCTGGTGTCTCTATCCTCGGGTGGCAGGATACATGGGGCCGGACTCCAGCTGCCAACATCCCTGACCACTGTGCATGCTGGCTGTTGGGTCTGATGGGAGCCACATCAACCTCTTGGGAAGGGGCTACAAGTCCTCCGTCTCTGCCCTGTTTTAATGGGAGGGGCTGCTGCTGGGAGACAAAGCGATGGTTTGGTCCAGCAAGACGATTCTGAAGCAACCCCCAAGATTTTCTTCTTCTTCTTCTTTCTATTTTTGCAAAAATTAGCTACCTCTCAACCCAGAGGGGGCGGGTGGAATCCTCTGGGAAATTTTTCACTTCTTGGGTTTCGAAAGAATGAATTAACATCCCAGGAGCGACTCGTGGGCAATGATGTTCATTTAAACACCAACTCTGGGGATGGCGGTCAAAGTCTATTTATTACTTAATTTAACACAACACGGCGCAGATTGGAAGCACAAGAGAACAGGATCTCCCCCCCCACCTCTTCCCCCACTTCCTGACGCCCCGTTAAGAGTTGCGGCGATGGGGGAGTTTCCAGAGGTGGAGCTGATCTAATCTCTGCCATAATTCCATTTTCTATTAAAAGCTTCAGGAGCTCTGGGCCTCTCTTCTCCTCACCTGACACCTCTCCCAAACCAGCTTGGCTAATAAGCCGGCGCTCAAGAACAGGGGTGGGCAACCTGCGGCCCCATGGCCTAATTTCACATAGCTAGCAAGGGGTGATGCTTTTGAATTTTGATGCTTTTGAATTCTGGTGCTGGAGGAGACTCTTGAGAGTCCCATGGACTGCAAGAAGATCCAACCTCTCCATTCTGAAGGAAATCAGCCCTGAGTGCTCACTGGAAGGGCAGATCCTGAAGCTGAGGCTCCAAGACTTTGGCCACCTCAGGAGAAGAGAAGACTCCCTGGAAAAGACCCTGATGTTGGGAAAGATGGAGGGCGCAAGGAGAAGGGGACGACAGAGGACGAGATGGTGGGACAGTGTTCTCGAAGCTACCAGCATGAGTTTGACCAAACTGCGGGAGGCAGTGGAAGACAGGAGTGCCTGGCGTGCTCTGGTCCAGGGGGTCACGAAGAGTTGGACACGACTAAACGACTAAACAACAACAAAAGCAGGGGGGGGCAGGGAGAGAGAAAAATGGGGTGATGGAGAGGAAGGAAAGGGGTGCGTTAGAAAGAGGAAAGAAGGTTGAGAGAGAGGGAGAGGGAGAGAGAGAGAGAAGGGGCGACTGAAAAAGTGGAAAGAAGGTATTAGCGTTGGCCCACGCCACACGTGTATGTGGCCCCTAACAGATTCTTCCAGTGGGAATGTGGCCCCCCAAAGGGGAATAGTTGCCTGCACAGCTCAGAAAAAAAGTACAGTAGTACCTTGGTTGTTGAATGGTTTGGCTCACGAACAAATCGGCTCCCGAATGCCACAAACCTGAAAGTGAGAGTTTCGGTTTGTGAACGTTTTTCGGAAGCTGAACGTCCAACGCGACAGTCATGGTCTGGTTCATGGCTAATCAAAGTCCCGGATGGGGACGTCGGGACCGGGGGCAAGATGGCGGGGTGGGAGCAGGAATGGGAGTCAGGAAGCCAAGGGTCCGAGGGACAAGAAGCAAGGAGTCATGAAGCCAAGGGTCCGAGGATCAAGAAGCAAGGAGTCACAAAGTCAGGGGTCCGAGGGTCAAGAAGCAAGGAGTCACGAAGTCAGGGGTCCGAGGATCAAGAAGCAAGGAGTCACGAAGTCAGGGGTCCGAGGATCAAGAAGCAAGGAGTTACAAAGTCAGGGGTCCGAGGTTCAAGAAGCAAGGAGTCAAGGAGCCAAACGGAGCAAGGCAGGGAACGTGTTGCTGTGGGCAAAGTGCCGAAGGGAAATGCTGACCTTATATCCCTTCCCGGCTCTTGCCACCAGGTGCTGTGAGTTACCAATCGGCCTCACCTGTGCGGTCGCGTCTTGCCTCTCCAGAACAAACTTAGGAAGGCCCCAGTCCTGCAAAGTCCTACTGGTCCCAGGGCCTGGCTCCTGCACGCACTCCTGACAGCGGCTTTTGCTTGAGAGCAGGAAGCTCCCGCAGGCAATCAGAAGCCGTGCCTTGATTTCCGAATGGTTCCAGGAGTCGAACGGCCTCCCGGAACGGAATAAGTTCGGCAACCAAAGTACCACTGTAGAAGGTTTGGACCAGGCAAAATTATTCGTGGCTTATCTCTAGCCCCACTGATTTGGGTGAGAAAAGCAACCCGCTCATGTCTACGGAGAAGGAAGCCGCGTAGAGTTTGACAACAGGCCTGCAGCCTTAGCACAAATCATTTACACGTATTTTTCGCTCTATAAGACGCACCAGACCACAAGGCGCACCTAGTTTTTGGAGGAGGAAAACAAGAAAAAAATTATTCTGAATCCCAGAAGCCAGAACAGCAAGAGGGATCGCTGCGCAGAGAAAGCAGCAATCCCTCTTGCTGTTCTGGCTTCTGGGATAGCTGCGCAGCCTGCATTCGCTCCATAAGACGCACACACATTTCCCCTTACTTTTTAGGAGGGGAAAAGGGAGTCTTATAGAGCAAAAAATACGGTAGTTTCATGCCAGGAGTGGCCAGGACAGTTTCCTCTCGATGATGTGACACCCATAGTTTCTGGGGGGCCACCCTAATGTTGCTAGACTGTTGTTGTTGTTTAGTCGTTTAGTTGTGTCTGACTCTTCGTGACCCCCTGGACCAGAGCACGCAAGGCACTCCTGTCTTCCACTGCCTCCCGCAGTTTGCTAGACTACAACTCCCATAATCCCCTGAACATCAGCTGGCGGGGCTGATGGGAGTTGGAGTCCAACGTCCTTTCCCAACAGTTATGGCAACCATGTGGGGCATTTAAGAGTGCGGCATTTGTTTAAGCGGGAGGCGCTGTGGGTTAAACCACAGAGCCTAGGACTTGCCGATCAGAAGGTCGGCGGTTCGAATCCCCGCGATGGACGGGGTGAGCTCCCGTTGCTCGGTCCCTGCTCCTGCCAACCTAGCAGTTCAAAAGCATGTCAAAATGCAAGTAGATAAATAGGTACCCCTCCGGCGGGAAGGTAAACGGCATTTCTGTGCGCTGCTCTGGTTCGCCAGTAGCGGCTTAGTCCTGCTGGCCATATGACCTGGAAGCTGTACGCCGGCTCCCTCGGCCAGTAAAGCGAGATGAGTGCCGCAACCCCAGAGTCGGCCACAACTGGACCTAATGGTCAGGGGTCCCTTTACCTTTATTTGTTTAAGCAAGAAATAAAATATCAATCATCATCATCATTTACCTGCCCTTCATCCTAAGGTCCCGGGGCGTGTCACAACATCAAAACACAGCATTAAAGTCAGTTTTAAACAACTTACAACTTAAAGGAGAGTTTGTTTTCATGATTTGGACCCATTGATCACTACAAGAGAAGTGATTTGGACCCATTGATCACTCCAAGAGAAGTGATTGCCATTAATTATTTTATTTTATTATTCCAGAAAGTTTCTGGGACATTTGGGGGGTCCCAAATCAACTGGGCCGAGCAAATCATAGAATCATAGAGTTGGAATAGACCACAAGGGCCATCGAGTCCAACCCCCTGTCAAGCAGGAAATGGAAGAGAAGACACGGAAACAGGAATGAATTCGAAAGGTAATGAAACAAATGCAAATTTAATGAAAGGATAACGAAAAGACGAGCAGAGATTTTTTTAAAAAATAAAACAAATGAATGATGTCTTTAATAATGAAAACGAGTGGGATTGTGAAAGGAAGGGAATTTCTTAACGCTGCTTTAGAGACAATTCTGCAGACGGCTCAAGACGGTTTAATTAATAAGCGTGGCTAAGTTAGTCAATGGGTCTACTCTAAGTAACTGATTTTTTATCCTCCTGTCCCTGATTTTGAGAAGTTGAATGAGTGTAATAAGGGAGTTTGACACCTTGTCGCTCCTCAAGAGTTTTAAGCATTTTTCCTTGCACTTATACACTGTACCGGGACGCAGGTGGCGCTGTGGGTTAAACCACAGAGCCTAGGACTTGCCGATCAGAAGGTCGGCGGTTTGAATCCCCGCAATGACGGGGTGAGCTCCCGTTGCTCGGTCCCTGCTCCTGCCAACCTAGCAGTTCGAAAGCACATCAAAGCGCAAGTAGATCAATAGGTACCACTCCGGCGGGAAGGTAAACGGCGTTTCCGTGTGCTGCTCTGGTTCGCCAGAAGTCGCTTAGTCCTGCTGGCCACATGACCCGGAAGCTGTACGCCGGCTCCCTCGGCCAGTAAAGCGAGATGAACGCCACAACCCCAGAGTCGGCCACGACTGGACCTAATGGTCAGGGGTCCCTTTACCTTTATATATACTGTACCACTTTTATCTTCCAATGATGTCACAGCGGTGTACAATGTTCTCCTCCTTCACCCTTTCATCCTCACTTCTGGGTTTGCAGCGATGTGCGCAGTTCAGGTCCCTTGAATGCGTATACAGTGGTGCCTCGCAAGACGAAAAGAATCCGTTCCACGAGTCTCTTCGTCTTGCGGGTTTTTTCGTCTTGCGAAGCAAGCCCATTAGCGGTTTAGCAGACTAGCGCTACAGTATTAGCGGCTTAGCGGGCTTAGCGGATCAGCTGATAAGCGGCTTAGCGATCAGCTGTTAAGCGGCTTAACGATCAGCTGATAAGCGGCTTAACGATCAGCTGATAAGCGGCTTAGCGATCAGCTGTTAAGCGGCTTAGCCGATCAGCTGATAAGCGGTTTAGCGGCTTGGGAAAAAGGGGGGGAGGGGAAAAAACCCGCAGGAACTCGCAAGACATTTTCGTCTTGCGAAGCAAGCACATAGGAAATTGCTTTATGGAGTATCTTCCAAAACGGAAAACCCTTTCGTCTAGCGGGTTTTCCGTCTTGCGAGGCATTCGTCTTGCGGGGCACCACTGTATATGGGGAGCTGCCTGTATATGGACATTAATAGTATTTTCTTTTGTGTTGATATCTGGAACTTTTGACTCTCTGAAATTCGGGGCTTACATGAATCTTGCAATATGTGTTGACATTTGAATCACACCTTCCAGTTGTGTAAAAAGGTATGTGTGTGTCCAGTTTGCTTTTTTCTTTTCCATTTGGAAGTGGGGGACAATTTAGAAGTTGGAAGCCACCCAGAGTGGCTGGGGAAACCGAGGCAGATGGGAAAACAACAACAACAACAGCAACAGTCATACCTTGGTTTTCGAACAGAATCCCTTCCAGAAGTCCGTTCGACTTCTGAAAATGTTCAAAAACCAAGGCACAGCTTCCAATTGGCTGCAGGAGCTTCCTACACTCAATCAGAAGCCGCGTCGGACGTTCGACTTCCAAAAAACGTTCAGAAACCAGAATAATCACTTCCGGGTTTGCGGAATTTTGAGCGCTGCTGTGCAGAATCTGTCAACGGCGTACAATGGTACCTTAGTTCTCAAACTTATTCCATTCCGAAAGTCCGTTCCAAAACCAAAGCGTTCCAAAACCAAGGTGCGCTTTCCCATAGAAAGCAATGCAAAATGGATTAGTTCCAGACTTTTAAAAAATACCCCTAAAACAGCAATTGAACATTAATTTTACTATCTAACGAGACCATTGAGCCATAAAATGAAAGCAATAAACAACGTACTGCAGTCACACAATCAATCCATCAGTAACTGGACTGGGTTCCACGCAGTCACAAAAACAAAACAAAAAGAGCCACAAAAACAAAAACGCAAAATAAATAGCAAAAGCAGACAGACCTCAGCGTAACACTCAAAACGGAAGTGTGGCACTCAAACGAGGAGCACGTTCGGCTTCCGAAAAAAGTTTGCAAACCGCAACACTTGCTTCTGGGTTTGCAGTGTTTGGGTTCCAAGTTGTTTGAGTACCAAGGCGTTTGAGACTATATAAGACTGTATAAGACTATGGCTATCAGTCTACAGGAAAGGGACGTGGGTGGCGCTGTGGGTTAAACCACAGAGCCTAGGGCTTGCCAATCAGAAGGTCGGCGGTTCGAATCCCTGCAACAGGGTAAGCTCCCGTTGTTCGGTCCCTGCTAGGTACCGCTCTGGTGGGAAGGTAAACAGTGTTTCCATGCACTGCTCTGGTTCGCCAGAAGCGGCTTAGTCATGCTGGCTACATGACCCGGAAGATGTCTGTGGACAAATGCCGGCTCCCTCGGCCTATAGAACACGAGCTGAACGCCGGCTCCCTCGGCCAGTAAAGCGAGATGAGCGCGCAACCCCAGAGTCGGCCACGACTGGACCTAATGGTCAGGGGTCCCTTTACCTTTACTATCACTCTACAGAGCACTCTAATATGAGTGCTCATTCTATCTAGTTTGTGGAACAGGTCATCATCCGACAAATTTTGAGCGCTGCTGTGCTGAACCTGGCAACGTCGTATGTCGTAGCAGGACCGGTATCTGAAAGCAGCAGGGAGGTATAAAATTGCCCTGTGCACTTTAGGTACTTATGCAGCGATGGTAAGATGAGGCAGGTACGAATGGCTCTATAATAAAGACACAGAAGAAGTGCACGCTCTGTTGTTTCTGTTTGTCCAGAGTCAAAGGAGCACTGCCTCTCCAGGTAAGCAATCTCCTTCAAGGACAGCCAAAGGGAGGGCATGACATTGAGCCAAGGTAAAGGGGTGCTTAGGGATTTTGAGTTTAGCTAGATATGCCATAGGGCAGGCAGAGAACCTGGAGGATTCATTGGCAATAAAGGTTGCGGTCCTGGTTAGATCCAACTGGCGCTCAGGAACAGGGCCGGATTTAGGTTTGATGAAGCCCTAAGCTACTGAGCCCTTTATATGTCGAGCTGTCCTTTGTCAACAACAAATTGTTGCTGTTTTTTGTGTAGAATATATGCTATATAATGGGTAGGCAAACTAAGGCACGAGGGCCGAATCCGGCCCAATCGCCTTCCACATGACCCGGAAGCTGTACGCCGGCTCCCTCGGCCAATAAAGCGAGATGAGCGCCACAACCCCAGAGTCGGCCACGACTGGACCTAATGGTCAGGGGTCCCTTTACCTTTATATTGTATCGTTTATCGTATATCGAGTCAGTGGGGCAGGAAAGAGGCCTCCTTACCCTCAGACCCGGAGTGGGGTTAATGGATGCATCCAGACTCTCTCTCACACACACATACTCAAATGCACAGACGCAAACTGCTTCTCGTCCACCTCCACCCTGTAACTGCTCATCCGGAGAGGGGACGTCGCCAGCGCATTGCCTTTATAAGATACTCAGCCAGATCCGTCGCCAGATTAAACCTTCCGCCATGCATTCTTAAGGGTTTTGTGCGTGCGTGCATGTTTTTAACGAAGGCAGAGAAAGAGAAGAACAAACAGTTGTGGTCGGGTTGCTAATGCAACCCTGGCTTTTGAAACCCGGTTGGCACAGGGCGAGCGTCGGCGGGGAGGGAGATTTCGGAAAGCAAGAGGGTGGGGAAGGCTCTTGCGCAGTGATGCAAGCACACAAGATCTGCAGGGGGACATTTGGAAGCTGAGATCCCACCAGACCATCACGAGAGACTATTGTTGAGTTAAGTACCATATTTTTTGCTCTATAAGACTCACTTTTTCCCACCTAAAAGGTAAGGGGAAATGTGTGTGCGTCTTATGGAGCGAATGCAGGCTGCGCAGCTATCCCAGAAGCCGGAACAGCAAGAGGGATTGCTGCTTTCACTGCGCAGCGATCCCTCTTGCTGTTCTGGCTTCTGAGATTCAGAATATTTTCTTTCTTGTTTTCCTCCTCCAAAAACTAGGTGCGTCATGTGGTCTGGTGTGTCTTATAGAGCGAAAAATACGGTAGATGGCTGGGTCTTGGCCACTTGGAGGCTTCGACAAGAACGAGACTGCAGTACTCTGTATAGGAACAGAGGGAGAAATTCATTATACTACTGGATTCATGGACCGAAATGCCGTGATCTTTAGAAATCCGCCCTCCTCCAAATGCTGGGCTTTATCCGACCAAATTCCGCCTACTGAAATGGACCGATCAAAGCCATGTCTTTTCATTTCAATGGGTCTCCCCTGATCATGAC